CAAAGCACAAATAGCTCTTTTTGATATTCTCCAGAGGACAAATCTTATAGTTTTTGGCATTCTGGGCACGTCGTCTGAAATTTAACGAGCAGCTTCTTAAATAGTTTGATGCTGCCCATGCCAGTCCCTTATTGACATTTGATCTTCCAACAATCACCAAGACTTCATTTATAACTAATCAAAATGCTTCATAACTATCATCACACAACTTAATTTCTTTAATCATAAAGATAGAAAATGGTTTATGTAGCAAGTCGTCAAACTAAAATTCTCTTCAGATTTGTTTATGGAACACTAGATAACAAGATTATCATGCTTGTTAATGTTATGCCATCCAGAACTGGGCATTTACTGATATTTTCCTACCTCATAGAAGGGCCTATGACCTACAATAATTTACAGTCTAAAATGGCTTACACACTCATACCGATAAAAATCAATCCCTGATGCTATAACCAATGTTCTTCAAATGATACCATAACAATGAGCCAAATATTCTATTAAGCATAAGCCTAATCAAGATTCTCAGAACAGCCCTGCATTTCATATTTGCCGATAGTTGTCATAGCATCCCAAATTTTTATTCATGAAAGAGCAATCTCAAACTCCCGACAAAAACTTAAAAATCAGTACTTTACGTATACTATTTCACATACTCGGCTATGGTTATGGAAGCAGAAAGAAGTTGGAGCACGAAATGTCCAAATTGAGAAATACTTAAATGGGAGAACCTCAGAATGCCTCTTACAAAATATGGAAAAATAAATAAATCATATAACTATCACATGCCCCCATATTTTAATTTTAATTTTAAAAAAAAAAACGAAAACGATGTGACCCTGAGCACTAGAGCAGCTGCACAGGCATATGCAGACCATCGCCCTTTGATTTCCTACTCTTGATTAATACCACTTCCAAGACCTCTACTGTTGTACCCTACCACAATCCCCCTTCATTAAAAAAATTCATTTTTTTTTGTTTTGAGAAACTATCAAAAAGAACGCATTTTCAACAATTTCAAAATAAACACTCAAAATGAATTCAAAACTCAAAACACAAAACTGAAACACAAAGAGAACACCCCCTAAGGGATCGTTCTCTTTGTGTTTCAATTTTGTAGTTTTGAGTTCTGAATTCATTTTAGGTCGTGTATTTTGAGTGCCTGTTTTGAAATCGTTAAAAATACGTTCTTTTTTGTGATTTTGCAAAACTGCTTCTCAAAACACAAAAATGGAAAACGCGTTTACTTTGAAATTTTAAGAATAATTTTTAACCATTGTCGAAAATCACCATCGTCAACCGCCACCACCACCACCATCGATCACTGCCAAAATCAACACCACCACCATGAACCATCAACCATTACCACCACCACCATCAACCACTGCTAAATGGGAGAAACGCAGAAACGAAAATCAACATCACCACCACCACCACCACAATCTAACATACCACCACCAAATCAACCAAAATCAACAGCGAACTTCGCCTCCTCCAAACCGCAGTCGGCATCGAAGGGAGAGATGGAGACGGGCCCAAACAAATGGGTCGCGGCGCAACGTTCACAACAGCATCGCCTCTCCCACGCTAGCGCCAGCATCTGTGCATCACCTTCGTCGCCTCCCCACACTGAAGCCGGCATCGAGAAGAGAGGAGGAAGAGAGTTGACGGAAGAGAGAGGGGAGACGGCTCAAATGTTTCTCTCTCCTGTTTTCCGCGTTTTCAACATCTTTGGGTTTTGTACAAAAAACGCCCAAAACATCAATTTTGACGTTTTGCGTTTTCTTTACAATTTTTTTTTTTGTTTCGAAAATTCGTTTTTGAAAATGGAAAAGAGAACGCGTTTTCACTGTTTTCAAAAATCGAAAATAGAAAACGGTTTGAAAACAACAAAGAGAATAGGGCCTAACATATCCACTTTAAACTTCCTCAGCCACCAGGTTTAGAGTATTCATATTCACGAGTTATGATTAGGTAGTGCACCTCAGAGCAACATTCCTACACTCAAAGTGGTGGTATGAGGTGGCAATAAATGAGACCTAAATTCCTCAAATATTGGCTCAAACTGTTTAAAGTGAACATAAATAAACCAAGGATAACCGATGAACAAGACATGCAGTTTTACAAGTAAAAGAAAATAACCCGAAAATTATCTCTTCTACATAACCAAAGAATTTTCACTGACATGCATGTCACAGTCAATTGTTAACTACGATACAAGAACCTCTTGAATACAAAACATAAACCTGAATGATAGGAATTGCAAGAAAAAGGCAACGCATATATCATCATCCCCATTCAATTCCTCAATAACGACTTCAATGCCAAGTCAACAGTGAGCACAACGTTTGACTATGCATTTACTTTTCAGACCAAGTTACTCTCTCTTAATACAACCTGCAAGTTTTTCAAGGTTACGAGGTCGGGACTAAAATTTTCACAAGCTGCGCCAGGTGAAATATTTACAAAAAACCTAAAACGAAGTTATATGAAAAAAAAAATAATAATAATAATAATAATAATATCAACTTGGTGATCACATCCATATGGTCCCAAAATATCAAACATGCAAGAAAGAGGCAAACTGCATCAATATTACAATCTTTCAATTGTTTATGAACTGCTAATTAGCTAAATTATGGTACACTCAGTGTTCTTCAAGTTATAATTATACATAGAGCTCGTAATTCCTCCATCCAGTTTTCTTTTTGACCATAGAACTTTTCGATGGACAAGGAGAAAAAAGTTGATGTGACAGGCAGAAGATCAAATACACAATCAATTAGCCAAGATAATATGTGAAACTTGATTCTTCTTCAGTTCTGGCCATCAATTAGCAGTTAAATGTACATTTTATATGCATCTATGTACGTCACAAGGTGAAGAATTCTAAATGGCCTCCATTCTATATTTGCCCATATATTTCTTTACCATCGAATAGGAGTAATATCACATTCCAAACAAAGAGCTGAAACTCCCTTGCTAAGTCACTCGAACCATGAGCGGGTGAGGCGAATAAGAGCACTAAAATAAAAAATGTCAAGAGAGAAGCAGATGGGAACGCCTAAATAAAGTTAACATAATATATAAATTACTTAGCGTTGAAAAGTTAAGGTAGATAGCTAAGCTCAACTTGGTACTTCAGCTACAAAAGAGACTATCAGGTTTTAAAATAAGAGCTGGCGTGCCTTCTTACTAGGAACCTTCTAGTCTAAATATACGCGAACTTAAAAACAGAAAAGCGAAAAAAAAATAAAAAAGAACTAAATAAATGCCTCAAATCTAGCACAATGCATTTTCTTATTGTTGCTGATGGTTAAATCTAATCTGGCATATAATTTTATGTTCCTTTTTCTTTTCTGTCTACTCTTGTTCTCCTTTTCTCTGCACAATGCATTTTGTCACTGTTGCTGATGGTTACATCTGATCTTGCTAAGTCACTCGAACCATGAGCGGGTGAGGCGAACAAGAGCACCAAAATAAAAAAATATCAAGAGAGAAGCAGATGGGGACGCCTAAATAAAGTTAACAAAATATAAAAATTACTTGGTGTTGAAAAGTTAGAGTAGATAACTAAGCTCAACTTGGTACTTCAGCTACAAAAGAGACTATCAGGTTTTAAAATAAGAGCTGGCATGCCTTCTCACTAGGAACCTTTTAGTCTAAATATACGCGAACTTAAAAACAGAAAAGCGAAAAAAAAAAAAAGAACTAAATAAATGCCTCAAATCTAACACAATGCATTTTCTTACTGTTGCTGATGGTTAAATCTAATCTGGCATATACTTTTATGTTCCTTTTTCTTTTCTCTCTCCTCTTGTTCTCCTTTTCTCTGCACAATGCATTTTCTCACTGTTGCTAATGGTTACATCTGATCTTGCTAAGTTACTCAAACCATGAGCGAGTGAGGCAAACAAGAGCACCTAAATATATGCGAACTTAAAAACAGAAAAGCGATAGGAAAAAAAAAAAAAAAAAAAAACAAATAAATGCCTCAAATCTAGCACAATGCATTTTCTTACTGTTGCTGATGGTTAAATCAATCTGGCATATACTTTTATGTTCCTTTTTTCTTTTGTCTCCTCTTGTTCTCCTTTTTTCTGCATAATGCATTTTCTCACTGTTGCTGATGGTTACATCTGATCTGGCATATACTTTTACATTCCTTTTCTTTTCTGTCTCGTCTTGTTCTTTTCTCCCTCTCCACTCACCACCAATACCCTCCACCTTGATATCCAACCCTCAATCCCTTCCCCTCATTTCCA